TATTAACACCGAGTACCTATTTCTTAGAAATTTGTAGAAACATTCTTATGAATTGGTGGGAGTATTTTTGTTGTGGATATGTATTTTGGTTGTATTTTTAAGATTGAATATATATCTTTTTGGCAGCTCTAATTCTTCTTTTTTTTTTAAAAAAGGAAGAAAAAAACATTTTCTTTTCTGTTTGTTCTTTCTATTTTCATTAAAAAAAAAGAGAGAGTTTCCTCTTTCTTTTTAAAAAATACTTAAAACTTTTGATAAAATAAGCAACACAATGGGAACCATAGGTCGAGAAAGAAACATTTAATTTCTATTATTTTGATTTACATTAAGCAATTTAATAAACACTACCAGTAAATAATAGGGTCTTGTTAAATGTGTACAAAATATATATAACAATTAACTAATTTTTTTTTTTTTGTTAAATATGGTAAAATTTTTAAAACCATATTTTTCGTTTAATTATTATTCTGATTTTGCCTCTTTTATTTTTAAAAATTACGTCATTTTAGGTATATAACTTATATAAATGATAAAGTTACACTACCAGTGGGCCCAATTTTTTTAATTTAATTTAATTTTTTACATTTACAACTGCTAAGTTTTATTGTTGGACTGGTGAAGAGTTCTTGTTTTAAAGATTAGATAAGGATAGAAGTTTGATTTTATTATTATTATTATTATTTATTATTTTAGTTTTAGAAGAGATAGGGACATTCTTCCCTCCCTATTTATATACCATTTCAAAGATAAATTACAATATTTAGTTTAAGGACTAAACATCTAATTTAGTTAATATTATATTTTAAATAGGAGGAGCGCTTGAATTATGTTTCGTTGTCTCGGATTTCCTATCATGCCAATTAAAGCTAAGTTAAGGTCACGTGGACTTCTCTCAAATTAATTAAGGAGAATTTTTGAGGTATTTATTTTTTGTTTATATGGTAAGTATCCTTTTATCCCTCGGTTTAAAAATAAGTCATTTTCTCTCTTAAGTGCTAGATTCTTATTTAATCTATTTTCACTCGACAATTTAAACATATTTTAATTGATTAACACATATATGCTCGATCTTAATTTGGAGTTGGTTGTTCAACTAAAAATAATTAATTTTTTGAAAAACAGACCCATCAAAAGTCTAAATTCAATCATTGAAAGTAAATAATTAACCATTTTAATTTCCCTTATTATATATATATAAACTTTTATTATAAAATATTTAAAATTCAAAATACTTACCTACACAAAACCTAATTTCGGTGACAACCGTAGAGACACCAAAAGTGAGAATACACTAACACGAATAAAAAATCCAGTAAAATATTTTCGATTACTTTTATTTAATCAACGTAAATTTGATTCGTCTCTCAAAATTTCGTACAGCTATCATCCATCTTATTCCAATGTGATGTCTTCATATATACTTATAGACGTGGCTACCCAACGCATGAATATTACTGACCACCAAATTTGAATCAATTTTGCAAACATTTTCACCCTCCCAAAACCCACCAAACTTTGAAGTTATACCTCAACTATGAGATTGCTACCGCTCCTAAAACTATATAAAATTTTAGCATATTATTTCAATAGTATTTTAGCTCATAATATTATAATATGTAGAAGTATTTTTTCCAATTAGCAAAAATTAATTAATAATCTTGATTTCAATATTGTTTTATGTACTATTCGTTGGTTGCTTCCTTTCTGTCTTTGTAATGGTTGGGCTAAATTATAAGTCTAATTATTTAGGTTTCGTTTGATAACCGTTTTGGTTTAAATTTTAAGCCTTGAAACCTTACTTTCATTTCATTACTTTCCTGTTGCGTTTTCTTTGATTTATGATCTACTTTTTTTTACCTCATTTTCAAAATCTAAATCAAAATTTGAAAATAAAAAAAAAATGTAGTTTTAAAAAACTTGTTTTTTTTTTTTTCGAATTGGACTATAATGATTCAAATGTGTTTTAAATGTATGTGAAAAACGTGCTATAGAAAAGAATAGAAATCAAGTATACTTTTTAAAAACAGAAAATAAACAGGACCTGAACATTTATATCTTTTATTAAAACTTTATATTATACTAGGTTAAATAATTAACAGATGGATGACGTGTCATTTTTTCTAAGTTTTTTTTTTCAAACACAATTTTTGTTTCTCCCCTCAGCAAACAAGTTTTCGACGATTTCCACGCTCCTCAACGTCGTTTCCTATCTTCGTCTATGCAACAATTTTGATTTCTTCTGAATCTCTGATTTCTTTATTTAAAAAAGAAAAAAAGAAACCAAGGGTCTCACTCAATCCCTAAAACCTGACTTCAATTTCAATTTTCAAGGTCTTTGTAGAGGAGATGAACCAACTTGAGCAATACAATCATATCAACGTACTACTCTTCTAGTTCAGAAAAATAATCACCCATATCGTAAACATTAGACCATCTCACATTTTTTTTCTTCAGTTTTGTTTTCCCCTGGCCGAAACCACCACATCGATTTGGACTTCCGAGTACCGATCCATGACCAATAATTGAATGGCCGGAAAGAAAAGGAAGTTTCCACCGGAGATCACGCAGCAGCACCACCGGACATAACCCCGGAGTTTTAGACCCAAACAGGCGATCTCCACCCTGTGCCCCTGAGGAAATTTCAAAAACACATAGGGAGGTCATCCGAGTTTTTTCTTTTAATGAAAGTGGAGATTCGAAAGAAATCAAATCCTTGTAGAGATGAAGATAGAGAAACAATGATGAAGTAGAATTGCAGACGATATTTCGTGAGTCTAGGAGAGAAGTAGAATGCGTTAAAGAAAAAAAATCATGACACGTCATTGACCTGTTAAATATTTAACAATTAACAGCAGGACTATAATGAATCATTTAAAAAAGTATAGAGACTAAAATAAATATTTTAAGAGTAGAGGACTAAAATGAACTCAAACTGAAAGTACAGGGATCAAATAGTATTTTAACCTATATACTAAATTTAAACATGTTAATAAAATTCCACCTTCGTGGAGCATGCATTCAAGCTCCTCCCAACCGTCATGGTTGACTCTTTCCCTTGTAATAATAATAATAATAATAATAAGTTTCTACGTATGTTGGAGCAGGATGTATTAAATTATATATTTTATTTATAAATTTACTTGTATCAAGTAAATTGTACATCCTACTTGTAAATTATCTTTACTTAATTTTAAATAAAGACTTGTATCTTCTCTTTTGTAGTCAACAAAAGAAAGTTTCATAGTTAGCGTCATAAGAGTTAAAAAAAAAAAATCACATAAAAAAAAGAATATATATATATATATATATTATTTTTTATTTCTACAATAACATTTCAATAGAAACTTCATTGAATTTTAACCCCGTAGCTGTCAGGCAACTTAAGATTAGTTCCAAAAATATCTCTTTTAATTGAAATGTTTTTTCTATTGATATTAGGAGGAAAAAAAAAGAGAATAAAATCAACAAAAATTTAAATTTCAAATTTTTAAGTGACGCTCCGAAAAGGTGGCAATGTTTCATTTGGAAATTAATTTACTTTAAACTAGAACCATTCCCACATAGCTAAATACTATTTTCAAAACAAAAATTCAATTAAAAAAAATGCACCAATAATTATTTTTTTTAGAAAAATTATATTAAATGACATTAAATAAATATGTATTTATAAAAATATGGTTACTTTTTTTCGTAAAAATGTCACAAAAAGTAGTTTTTAGTTAGTCTAATGTAATTGTAATGATATTTTCTTACCTTTTTTTTTTAGTTTACTTGTACAAGAAACTATTTTCAAAACAACTTATGTTATTTGTGTCATGAAAAAACTATGAATTTTTTAATAGGATTTTAAATGAACAATAATTTTAAAGAAATTTGACAGGTAGCGTTTTTTTTTCTTTTTTTAATATTTACAAATAAGTACTTCATTACAAATATATTAGTTTTAACAAATAATTTCAAATATAACACTTAAAAAAAATTATCTGTTAACTTTAATAGTAATAATCAATATGCTTCTATTTTAGGTAATCATCATTGGTTTATATAAATCTACAATTTTCCTATAAAAAAACAAAATAGAAATCAATAATTAACTTAAATATGGATCGATAGTAACCATCATAGATTAATTTTTATCATACTATGCACTAAATCACAAATATTTTAATTTTAACATTCTTTTCAGAGAGTTGAGTTACTGTTTTATAATAAAAGTAATAGATGTTTTATCAATTTAGTTATATTTAGATGCGCTAATTTGGACTATATTTACATTTTATTGTTTAGCTCATACTTTTATAATATTTTAACTACATAATTTGAACTACACCAAAAATTTAAACATTTACATGACACTATTATTATCATTATCATTTTATTTTATTTTTATAAAAAATATTTGAATACTCTTTTGATTCATGTACTTTTACTTTGGTTTATTTTAGTTCTCGTACTGTCAAAAGGTCTATTTTATTTTTTATACTTTCAACTTTTGTTCATTTTAATCCTTATACTTTCGAAACATTCATTTTGGTTCATAGACTTTAAAATAAACGATCATTTTGATCACTTCATTTTCATTTTTGGTTCATTTATTATGATCAGAATTTTAACATGACACTTCACTCACTAAATTTCTCGAAATGTAGCTATAAACTTGTATTACAATTCTACAAATTGACAAAAATATATGAACCAAAAAGCAAGAGAGTATTTAAACCTTTAAAATAATAATAATAATAATAATAATAATTTTCCATTTTTTTCTTCTTTTACCATCACATGATTTTTAGATACTTTTTAAATACATTTTTCTTTTTCTATCATTACGAAAAATTAAAAAACAAACATTTATAAAAATTGTCATTAAAAAATAATAATAAAAAAGACATGCATGTGATTGAACAGCGCAACGTAGAGTACAGTCCCCGATCCCCTTACCTTACGCCGCCCGCCTTTGTCTTCTTCTTCTTCAGTTCTTCTTCTGAGTCACTCACTGAGTCAAACTCGGACGACTCGTTCCCTCTCCAAAATTTTCCCTCTCTCTCCATTTTTATATTCATTCATTCTTCCAATCCAATTTCGAAGAACTCTCTCATCATTCAATTCACCTTACCGAATCAGAGAGCGACGTCTTTTACTGTTTCTCCATCATACGAGTTTTTCTTTCTGTCGCCGGATTTTTCAACCGGCGGCCATCGGAAAGTACGCCTGCGGAAGCTACGTCTCTTCTCGATGTCTTCTTCTCTCTCGTGGTTCTTTTTCTTTTCTCTCTCGTTTGCTTTCTCCGGCGCCGTCGCCTCCGTTCCTGCCGATGCAATGTCGCTCCTCAGGTTTAAGGATTCTGTTTGTTTTGACTCCTCCGCTGTTCTTCGTGGCTGGAATTTGTCCGTTTCTTACTGCGATTGGTTTGGAGTTACCTGTGACCGTGTTACTGGTAGAGTTGTTGAACTGAAGATGAATGGAAGTGATTCCGTTCTCGCCGGGACGCTGAATCCGGCGATTGGAGATCTTGCTGAACTTCGAGTTTTGTCGCTTCCGGATAATCTGATCTGCGGGGAGATTCCGGGGAGCATTGGGAAGCTTCAGTCGTTGGAGGTTCTTGAGCTTCAGGGGAACAATTTCTCTGGAAAGATTCCGAGACAGATAAGTTATCTTCGATCTCTCCGCCTGCTTAATTTGTCTGATAACTCGTTTTCGGGCTCGATACCGAGTAAATTGATCGGTTCGATGAAATTAGAACGGATTGATTTGTCGTATAATCAACTGTCTGGTAGAATTCAAGTTGTCGATAATAGATGTGGCGTTTTGAATCATTTGAGGCTTTCGCATAACTTTCTGACTGACAACATTCCGGCGGAGATTGGGCAATGTTGGAATCTGAGGAGTTTGTTGCTTGATGGTAATATATTAGAGGGTCGGATTCCGGCTGAGATCGGCAGAATTTCAGAACTCAGAGTTCTTGATGTTTCTAGAAATAGCCTTACCGATACGATACCTAAAGAGCTCGGCAATTGCCGGAAATTATCACAGATCGTGTTGACGAACTTGAACGATATCATTCCCGACGACGATAGTTTAAGAGGGGAATTCAACGCTTTCAATGGCGGTATCCCTTCTGAGTTGCTATTGCTTCCAAGTCTGCGAGTTTTTTGGGCACCGAGAGCGAATTTTAATGGCGAATTGCCGAGTAATTGGAGTTCTTCATGCTCGCTCAGAATTCTCAATTTAGGGCAAAATTACATCACCGGTACCATACCCGAAGCGATTGGGATGTGTTCGAATCTAACTTACCTGGATTTATCTTCAAACAAGCTACAAGGTAATCTCCCTTCGCAGCTTCGAGTTCCATGTATGGCGTATTTCAATGTCAGCCAGAACAAAATTTCTGGTGTTCTTCCGAGATTTGAGAAAGACGGTTTCTGTACGAGCATGATCCCACAAGAACCAGCTCCCAATTTCTTAGATGAGGAAGACAATTGGAATGCTTACTTCAATGTTCCTGTTTGGGATTTCTCGAGATTGAATGATAATCTCACAATCGCCCATGATTTTAGCTGGAATAGTTTCAGTGGCTCATTAGCTTCATTCAAAGTGGGAGAAGAGCTTCTGGCTAATGGTCGAAAGTTTTCTTACATACTGTTGCTTAATAGCAACCAGTTCAATGGATCACTCCCCATTGATCTGGTCTCGAACTGTAATGATTTGAAGAGCGTTTCGGTTAACTTGAGTTCAAACTTAGTATCAGGTGAGATTTCTGATGCATTCTTTCTCCATTGTCAACAGATGATGGAGTTTGAGGCAGCAAGTAATGAGTTAGATAACTCGATCGGACCTAGAATTGGCGATTTGCGAATGCTTCTTCGTCTCGACTTGAGAGAGAACAGATTGTCTGGAGTTTTACCAGATCAGTTGGGGAAGTTGCAGAGTTTAAAATGGATGCTTTTGGGAGGGAATAACTTGACTGGAGAGATTCCATCTCGACTCGGTCGGTTGGCTTCTCTAACGAGTTTAGATCTGTCCCGAAACGCGTTTACAGGAGTTATCCCTGAAAGCTTAGCATATGCTTCAAGACTTGAGATTCTGTTGCTCGATCATAACAGGTTAACTGGGGAAATTCCCTCTTCTTTCTCTGCCCTTTCTCATCTCACTAAATTGGATGTCTCTTTTAACAACCTTTCTGGCCACATTCCTCATATTCAGCACATGATTGACTGCATTTACTTTAGAGGGAATGAGTTTCTGCATCCTTGCCCGGATTCATACTCCGAATCCCCGGCTGGTCTTCCGGTTCCTCTCGACGTTCAGAAGTGGAAGAGACGGAGAAAGTTTTTGTCCATGATAATCGCTGTGGCTGTTTCCTCAACTCTAATTTGCATACTCTTGATTATAGCTGTTATCATCTTTGCAAAGAAAAGGCTTGGTAGACAAAATAGTTTAAAGAAGAAACTAATGGTGACTTTCTCGGACGCTCCAGCCGAACTGAGTTACGATAATGTGGTTCGAGCTACCGAAAATTTCAGCCTTCGGTATCTAATCGGTACCGGTGGGTTTGGGTCAACATACAAGGCTGAACTGCCCTCAGGTTCCATGGTTGCTGTAAAGAGACTGTCCATTGGTAGGTTTCAAGGAGGCATTCAACAATTCGACGCAGAGATTCGAACCTTGGGAAGAATACGACACAAAAACCTCGTAACACTTCTCGGGTACTACGTCGGAGAGGCTGAAATGTTCTTAGTTTACAACTACCTGTCGGGTGGGAACCTCGAGACATTCATCCACGAAAAATCTTGCAAGCACGTAAAGCACTCGGTGATCCGCAACATCGCTTTGGACATAGCGAGGGCGCTTGCGTACCTGCATTACTCGTGTGTTCCGAGGATTGTTCATAGAGACATCAAGCCTAGCAACATCCTTCTTGATGAAGAGCACAACACATACATATCAGATTTTGGGTTGGCCAGGCTTCTTGAGGTTTCAGAGACTCATGCCACAACAGATGTGGCTGGAACATTTGGATATGTTGCACCAGAATACGCTACCACTTGCAGGGTCTCGGACAAGGCCGATGTTTATAGCTTCGGAGTTGTGCTCTTAGAATTGCTTTCCGGGAAAAGGTCACTCGATCGATCCTTCTCCGACTTCGGGAACGGGTTTAACATTGTTACATGGGCAAAGATGCTGATCAAGGAAGGTCGTTCTTCTGAGCTTTTCACTCCTGAATTGTGGGAAATGGGACCAGAGGAACAGTTACTCGGAATGTTAAAGCTCGCATCGAGTTGCACGGTTGAAATTCTCGCTCTTCGACCGTCGATGAAGCAGGTCGTCGACACACTGAAACAGTTGTAAATTCTTTTAGGATCACTAACACATCAAACTGGTTGCTGCCTTGGCTACAGCATATGAGCATGCGCCATTGCCTACATTACAACCATCGTACATATTGAGATGAATTCTTTTTCTCCCAGGTTCGTTTTCTAACATCTCTAGCTTAAATGAAATTTACTCTCACACAACACTTGTTAGAATTATACTCTCAAACTTTCGATTATCTAAAAATTGTTGCAATCGGACCCGACTATTGTAACTAAAATCGTGGTTGAATTTAATTGTAATAGTTTTATAAGTTTGAGAGTACGATTCCAACAACCTCATAGATTAAAAGTCATTTTAAAGTTTAGAGTTTGATTGGAACAATCCTCGATTGTAACTGTAATGATTTTTTAAATTGTAGGAACAAAATCAACTGGTTAGACC